CAGCCAACACCACCTGCCTGCATCATGACACGGGGCAGCCCAGGGCCTGGGGGGAGTGGCATGCAGCCAGACACAGAGGGGGAGGGATAACCTGACCCCAGCACCAGTGTCTCATGCCCGTGGTCAGAGCCGGGAGCCCCATGCCCCCGGGCAGTGGCTCCAGCCCTGCTGGCCCATGCAGATTGGCTGTGTGCAGCGCCTGCTGCAGGAAGTGAGGCCAGGCTCTCCCGCTTGCCCCCCCCCCCAGTGAGGCTCACAGCTCCCAGCACCCAGGGCAGGGGCGCAGCTGGAGCCACCTGTCCTGGGAACAATTCCTGCATCCTCTCCTGCCCGGGGTCAGAGCCGGGAGCCCCGTGCCCCCAGACAGCAGCTCCAGCCACCCTTCCCTGGCTCCCACGTGGCCACTGACCCCTTCTCCGTGTGTGGCTGCTGCCACCCCCCTCTCCCCCATGTCCAACAAGAAACCTGTGCCTCAGGTAACTGGCACTTTTAGCTTACCAGCATCTCCCAGCCATTCCCCACTCATGCCAGTTAACAGGGATTTTAGCGCAGCCAGTAAAATTCAGTGAACTGAAAAACCGGTGTAAATCAGTAAAAAAAAAAAAATGAATAACTTCAATAAAAAAAATCAGGAAATTTATTGGTGAAAATTGGTAAAAATTGGAAATGCGGAACACTATGGATAAATGAGAAGGCTGCACCTGCCCATCACCCCTCTACTGGGTAGTTATTAAGCCAGTGACTGGTGGCCATGGTGCCACCAAATGAATGCTGAGGAAGTTTTTTGGATTATTGCTGATTCCTGGGAAGTGAGGAGCCATCAATCGGATACCCGCTGTGAATGATTTTTGTGTGGGTCCAATGGTCATACAGCCAATCCATCATTTTTTGAGGGAGGACTCATGACAGGTTTGCTTGCCACCAAGGACAACACACAAATATGAGCATGCAACTGTAAAAGAATCTTTCCTAACAGGTCTAGACATTTCTGACATGAAGGAAGCAAGCCATTACAAGAAAGACTTGGTCCTCATAATGGAGGAGATTCTTGGTGAGAGCAGTCCAACCACAACCTGGACCCACCATAGGCTCAGACACAAAAGGTCCTTGCTTTCTTACCATACTTTCATTCTGGGCTGCTGTTCAGCTCTAGTTAAAGTTAATTTTGACAGAATTTGGGCTCTTCCCCCTCCTGTGCAATTGTATGTGGTCTTACCTGACAGCATCACTGTTTCTCACAGGGCTGTTGCACATTTGTCTGCTGACTATGGAACTTACTTATGTTTGGGACCTTGATGTGTTTCTCCTGAATCTCCTGGTGTTTCCTTTGAAACTTTTTCTTTTCAGAATGATTGATAGGTTCTCTCACTATCAACTTTTTCTGGTGGCCGTCTGTGGTTGGAAGAGTGAAAGAACTTCAGACAGTCATGGTTGAAGATCCCTAAATAACTTTACGCAGAGTCGACGCAATGTTGAAACCTCAGGCTGTGTTCCATGCTGAGGAGGTGGTTGAATGTCATTTAAAAGCAGTTTGCCTCTCTGCTTCTCAATTCCTGTTGTGCTCTAGGAGAGAAGAAGTGACACAGTCTGGATGTCTCTATAGCCTTATTGTATTACAGGGATGGAACTGAAACCATTCAAATAGTCTCCTGGCTTGTTGATAGCCAGCCTGGCCATTCAAAAGGTCAAGTCATTTCGTTACAGGACTATCCAGCTCGATACCACAGTCCATCTCAATGAGGTTAGCAGTTGTGTACCACTTCCCCCATCCCCAGATGTTAAAGCTCACTCCACCAGAGCATAACATCGTCTGGCTTCTTCAGAAATATTCCAGTGTCCAGAGTGTGGAAATCAGCATCATGGAATAAGCCATTTTGGGATCTTACACATTTTTTGCACAATTGGGCCCCTGAAAGCTCTCTACAGCCATGCCATGACACGTGCATGGCTGTGGAGTGCTTTTATAAATTCACAGTTTGTAAGGGATCTTGGAAGATCATCGGGTCCAGCCCCCTGCACTAGACAGGAAAGGTGGCCATCCAGTCTCCTCTTGAAGATTTCCAGGATAGGTGATTGCACCACCTCTGGAGGGAGCTTATTCCACAGTCTGGACACCCTGACTGCAAAGAAGTGTTTCCTATTGTTAAGCCTAAAATGGTCTTCCAGGAGTTTGTGGCCATTACTCCTGGCTTTCCCCAAGGGTGCCCTGGTGAACAGTTGTTTGCCAAGCCCTTGATACATTCCCCTGATATAGCTGATTGCACAAAAAAATTAACCCTCCTCTAATGAGGTATCAGATGAAGGCCCTCTGCTTTACAGCACCTTTTCCCTAGGGTTAATTTTTTGCATGTTACAGGCTGGGCTGGCAGTGGGGAAGGGGGAGACTGAGGGATGGAGTAGCCCCGGAGCTGCTAGCTGGGGTTTGCTGCTTGGTTGGAACTGCAGACACACACTTAAGTATCCTTGGAGCTACATAAGCAAAATTTCATAACAAGGGTGAGGAAAAAAAACAAAAACAAAACAACCACCTGTCTGTACTTTTGTGGCTTAGCAAAGCAGTATAAGTGGTGTTGGGGCTGCAAAAGAAGGGGCTGAGTGGCAGGAGGGAGAAAACAGTCTTGAAGTTGTGAAGTCAAACAGTGATAAGATCTTTTTACCCCCTCTCTCTCTTTCTTCTTTCCACTTCTTTTGCAGCAGCACCCCCTCCTGGAGGGGAAGAGAAGGGTCACTGCATCAGTGTTGCAGAAGGGACGTACCCCAAACTGCTACCTCATTCCAAACCCCCCCTGCAGATGGACTGTACCAGACGGAGCTTGATGCAAGATGGGGAGGGTGATAACTCTGGAACTAAAATTGACCCGAAGGCAACACAGAGCAAGAGTTCCTGGCCAGCAGACAGCACCTACAGCAGCCCGGCAGGCCAGGGATGTGTGAGGGACATTGTGACAGCCTCTGAGAGAGGGCCTGTGCCTGAGAATGGGGCTGTCGGTGAAGGGTCCTCCAGTGGCACTGAGGGAAAAGTACTGGCTGTTAGCATCCTGGAGAAGCCCCTCTGCAGTGGGGGGAAGACTTTGCCAGAAGCAGCTCTGCCTTGTATGGGACAGGGCACCAGTACTCCTGGTGTGGATGGAGGCTCTGTGGGTGGGGCTACAAATCAGTTTCCTTCGCTCTACATGCCGGGCTTGGAGTATCCAAATTCAGCGGCACGTTACCATATCAATCCAGGACTCCAAGGGTTCAACCCTGTGATGGGGGGAAAGCATCCCACCCCTGTGTCCCATCCACAACACTTTCCAACTCGGGGCTTTCAGCCTAGTAACACCCACCCTGGTGTCTTTCCCCGGTATCGCCACCATCAGGGAATGCCGTACCCCTATCAGCCACAACCACCACCTTCCTACCACCACTACCAGCGCCCTCCTTACTATACTTGCCCACAAGGCTACTCAGACTGGCAGAGACCTCTCCATCCCCAGGCCAGCCCTAGTGGGCATCCACCCAGCCATCCAGCTCTGCCCAGGCCTGCCTTCTCTGACAGAGGGAGCATGGATAGTCTAGATGGCTCTGAGGCATTGAGCACTGCCCTGGTCTCCCCAAACCGAATGGACATGGCAAGCGCCAAAGAGGTTCCTCCAAGTGATGGGCAGGATCCAGGGCCAGAAGATGAGAAGTCAGAAGACTCCCAGGAAAGGCCAGAGAGTCCCAAAGAGTTTCTTGATTTGGACAACCACAATGCAGCCACCAAGAGACAGAGCTCAGTGGCAGCAGGGGAGTTTCTGTATGGGGCTCCCCCTCCACCTCTGAGTTCTGGGATTGGATTTGGTCCATCTGCTTTCCCTCCCCATGGGGTGATGCTACAGTCTGGGTCTCCTTATGCATCTCGGCATCCAGCCAGTCATTTCCAACCCAGGGCCTATGGACCGCCAGTAAATGCTCACCTATCTCATCATCCTGCCACTGGCCAGGCCAATGGCCTATCTCAGGAGGGACCCCTGTATCGCTGCCGGGAAGAGAACATGGGTCACTTTCAGGCCTTACTGATGGAACAGAGAGGTAGTGGAAGTGGCATGGGGGGACCACCCCAGGACATGTATAGACCACCGGGGTAAGATGTTTTCCGTAAGAATGAGGGACAAAAAGGGGGTTGTGATGCATGATCACTAGTTCCAGGGAAAAAAATCACACTTGTAATCTCTGTTTAAAAGGAAAAACAAATTGTCAGGCTTGGTCTGATGATATGTTTGCAAAATTTTGGGGGGAATTTAATGGTAGCTTTTTAAAGCATACAGTAATAATAATAAGGAAGACCTGCTTAGGTTAACCACTTCTACACATCTTCTCAGCAGATGTTGAGAGGCTCAGAGTTATGCAGTCTCATAATGGAGAAGCAGTAGTAGGAGCCTATAATATAAAGTTGCAGCTAACTTCCTGTTGTTGTAAACTCCATGTTTCTTTCAGATTTGCTCCCTTTTCTCCCCTCTATATTACCACCCGCAATTTCCATCAAGGGAAAGTTTCCTTTTTATTTCCTCATATATCCAAAATTAATTGACCTTTGTGCTCTTGCTGAGAAGTGCATTAGTGAGGGAATTAAGAAACAGTTATTTCCCTGTGCATAGAGTATCATAGAATCTTAAAAAGTTAGGGTTGGAAGGGACCTCAGGAGGTGATCTAGTCCAGCCCCCTGCTCAAAGCAGGGCAATCTCCAACTAGATCATCCCAGCCAAATCTTTGTCTAGCTGGGTTTTGAAAACATTCAAGGATGGAGCTTCCACCACCTCTCTGGGTAACCTGTTCTAGTGTTTTACTACCCTCCCAGTGAGAAAATTCTTCCTAATATCTAACCTAAACTTCCCTTGCTGCAACTTGAGACAATTGTTCCTTGTTCTATCATCTGCCACCAATGAGAACAATCTAGCCTCCATCCTCTTTCAAACCCTCCTTCAGGTAGTTGAAGGCTGCTATTAAATCCCCTTTCAGTCTTCTCTTCTCTAGACTAAATAAGCTGAGTTCCCTCAGTCTTTCCTCATAAGTCATGTCTCCCAGCCCCCTTATCTTCTTTGTTATCCTCCACTGGACTCTCTCCAATTTGTCCATATCCTTTCTGTAGTGGGAGGGCCAAAACTGGACACAGTACTCCAGATGTGGCCTCACCAGTGCTGAATAGAGGGGGATAATCACTTCCCTTGACCTACTAGCAACACACCTACCAATGCAGCCCAGTATATGTCGTTAGTCTTCTTGGCAACAAGGGCCCACTGCTGGCTCATATTCAGCTTATTGTCCACTGTAACCCCGAGGTCCTTTTCTGCAGAGCTGATGCCCAGCCAGTGAGCCCCCAGCCTGTCTCAGTGCATAGGATTGCTGTGTCCTAAGTGCAGGACTTTCCACTTGTCCTCGTTGAAGATTTCTTTTGGCCCTGTCCTCCAATTTCATAGTTTCACAGTTAGTAGGGTCGGAAGAGACCTGAGCAGATCATCAAGTCCGACTCCCTGCCATGCCAGGAAAGAGTGCTGGGGTCAAACGACCCCAGCAAGGTGATTGTTAGCCTTGTCTTAAAGACCCCCAGGGTAGGAGCCAGCACCACTTCGCTTGGAGGTTGGTTCAAGATCCTAGCCGCCCTGACACTGAAGTAGCGCCTCCTGATGTCTAGTCTAAATCTACCCTCTGCCAGCTTGTGACCGTTATTTCTAGTCACCCTGATAGTGCTTGGGGGACCAATGCCCACTGGTCCCCTCTGACTAGTTTGTAACAGGCCACTAGATCCCCCCTCAGCCTTCTCTTGTGGAGGCTGAACAGGTTCAGGTCCTGTAGCCTCTCCTCGTAGGGCCTGCCCTGCTGCCCCCTCATCATGTGAGTGGCCCTCCTCTGGACCCTCTCCATGTTGTCCACATCCCTCTTGAAGTGCGGCACCCAGAATTGGATGCAGTACTCCAGCTGCGGCCTGACCAGTGCCACATAGAGGGGGAGGATCACCTCCTCGGACCTGCT